CTACCGCTAGGCCATTAAAGCTCTAAGTCAAGAGCAAATGGCTCAAACTACATAGTGCAAAGGATATTCTTACTTGAAGATAAAAATATTAAGGTGCAATGCATGGCCATTAGTGTTTGATAATTTTATGCTGTATTTTCTTTGGCCTATGGTTCCAAGAAAGATGCTAAATATTCTCAATGTGTAATTTTATTTAAAGCATCCAGATCCGTACTAATAATACACTAATTTTCTGACTATTTTAACTTCTCAGTGATTTATATATAACCTAACAAGTCATTTTAGGCTGTCACTAAGTGCTTAGGCTTTCCACTCTCCAAATTTTAAGTAGGGTATTTTCACATAGAGCAATCACTTAATTTTCTATTGTTCCTATCCATTAGTCCTACTTGTGGCACAGACTTCGGGCACATGAATACCTTGTCTTACTGATGACTGTCTTTTAATGTACTTTTAGTGTAAAACTGCTATAGCTACTTAGAATGCTCAACATGTATGGAAACATCACCCAGAAATAAATCTGTACATCTATGTAGCTTTAGCCTAACATTAAAATGATCCAAAACCCTATCTCCAAACTTACCTTTTACTTAATTCTCTGTGTTATCACCAGACTTAAAAAAAATTTTCTTCTATCTCACTCTGCATTCCCAAAACTGAAAAAAATCTGCTGAAAGTATAACTGAGAAATTATTTCCATTCCATTGCAGAAGTTGCAAGAATTTTTTTAAAGCCACTAGTTTCTGACTAGGGAGGCAAAACATTATTCTCAAGAGGAGATTTACACTGTCATAAACAATTGGATTTTTTTTTTGGTATAGTAAAGTATAACAAGTCCTGTCTACAAAGAAATCACTGGCCCAAAAGTGGGTTGTACTGTTTGCAAAAAGCTATATAAACAATAACATGTGTACCAGTAGCATGTTACTTGCATAAAATATAATTTTCATTAAGTTGTTTCTGGCTTGAATAGAACACTGCTGGTACTATACATTATTGAGCTACTGTACATATACTAAAAAACTAGAATGATACAGAGAAGATTAGCATGGCCCCTGCAAAAGGATGACACACATTCCTTTTTTTTTTCAACTTAAGCCCCTTGTTTAGAGTCAACAAGACTTTGTAGAGGGCCTTTGTACTTAAAAGTCAGTTGTTACTATATTTTGGAAGAACATTCTTCTAAGTGGTACAGCATTCTTCTGTCAATTTGCTGTACTGAGGTAACCTGGGGTTGCTGTGATGCTAGAACCTTGTGCCCCTAGTGTGTCAAATGCCATAACAGGTACCCATGGTGGATAGTATTTGGTGGAGCTCCCAGGGTAAGACAGGTTTGGAAGAAGAAATAACATTCACTTACTAAACAACCTGCCTCTGGAAACTATGAACGTTGATGAAAAATAATATTATAGAAAGACTTTTCAGTTCTTTTGTTCATAGGGTTGCTGAGAGTGCTCACCTTGATGGCAATCAACAACCACCACCACCACCAAGAGTTTAGCGATGGGAATTCACCATGCACTCTGCAAGGAGATTTACAGCCTCAGAAGTCCTGTGATGTAGGCTAATCCGCACTAGAAGACAACTATGAGTCACAATCAATTCAGTAGCAAAGGGTTTTCGGTGATTTCTAGCTTGAAACTTCTGTACATTTCTAAATAACAGACTGAAGCAAAAATGCAAGATTCTATCAGAGATTCTATTACTTTCAGTATTCTTTACAATTTTCTGTTCACTTTTTCACCACTCAAAACTCATTGCCATCACTTTGGAACTGGCTCACAGCTGACACTCTAATGAGTTTCAGAGTCTACAAGTTTCAAGGCAGGCTACGGCCCATCTTTCTTCCTCAAAGTGGCTCTTGGATTCAAACCACCAGAGACAAGCCCTTATGGACAGCAGTGAAACTCGCTACAGATTACCCTATCAGAGCACCCTAGCTGTTCCTTCATTCTCCAGCACTACCCAAACTTAAGCCATTTTTTCCCTCTGGTTGCTAAATATTCACCACATGGTGGATACTGTAATCAGCTTTTGACTTTTATTTCTACACTCAAGTCCTTAGTGAATTCACTTAAACAAATAAAACTCTAAGCTGTCACATAACATTTGATTCTAGTTGCTTCCATAACTAACATTGCAGTATGAAGTAAAAATGTCCAAACTAAAACTTGTTTCTCCCTCCAAACAAGAACTTTTTCAAACTACACTTTTTTACCAATAAGATTTTACTAAGATTATCCAAAAACTACTGGAACAGCACATCAGCAGAGAACTGCCAGAAGTCCAGGCTGGGTTTAGAAGGGGTCGTGGTACTAGGGATATTGTAGCTAATGTTAGATGAATCTTGGCTGAAAGCAGGGAGTATCAGAGGAATGTATATCTGTGTTTCATTGACTATGCAAAGGCATTTGACTGTGTGGATCATAACATATTGTGGCTGACTCTGAGAAGAATGGGAATCCCAGAACACTTAACCTCTACTAGGACCAAGAGGCAGTCGTCAGAACAGAGCAAGGAAAGACTGCATAGTTCAAAACTGGGAAGGGCGTACGCCAGGGATGTGTCCTGTCTCCAGACCTTTTCAACCTGTAAGCAGAACAGATTATCCAGGAGGCTGGGCTCTATGAGGAGGAAGGTGGGGCCAAGATTGGTGGAAGATCTATCAACAATCTGCAATATGCAGATAACACAACCCTGCTCGCTGAAACTGAGGACCTGAACCTCAATATGGATTGAGGCTCAATGTCAAGAAGACAAAGATTCTCACCACTGGGCCAATTGGCAGCATCAGGATGGATGGTGAAGAGATTGAGATTGTTCACAGCTTTAGTTTGCTTGGCTCCACAGTCAAAACTCTCAACACCAGTAGCCAGGAAATGAAAAGATGTATTGCCATGGGAAAGTCGGCTGTTAGGGACCTTTCCAAAGTACTGAAGAACAATGGTGTCTCTCTGGAGACTAAGGTGTGCATGATACAGGCCATGGTCTTTGCAATCACTTGTTATGCATCAGAAAGTTGGACAATGACTAAGGAGGACAGAAGGAGAGTTGATGCCTTTGAGCTGTGGTGCTGGCGAAGAGTATTGAAAGTACCATGGACTGCTAGGAAAACAGATTCATCCTGCAAAGGGTCAAACAGGGCACCTCCTTTGAGGCAAGAATTCTGAGGCTCCGTCTAACATACTTTGGACATGTTGTAAGGAGGGACCGATCCTTGGAGAGGGACATCATGCTTGGGAGGGTGGAGGGATAGCACAGGAGGGGAAGGCCCTCTATGAGGTGGATTGATTCAGTGACTGAGATAATTCAGATGGGTGTATCGGAGATGGTGCGATTGGCACAGGACAGAGCAGAGTTTAGGGCTGTTGTACAAAGGGTCACTATGAGTCGCAAGCGACTTGACGCCACATAACAACAACAACAATATGGCTATAACCTGTTCATTTCCTTAGTAGTCCATGGTATATCCAATACTCTTCTCCAGCACCACAAGACAAAGACATCAATTCTCCTTTTATGATCCATAGTCACTGTCCAGTTTTCTGATGCATAGTATGTAATTGCTAAGACAATGGCCTGGATCAGGTGCACCTTGGTCTCCAGACTGACATGTATACTATTAACTAAATCACATCCACTGCCATCAATCCCAATGCACAGTAACTATAAAATAGCAAAATTGTCCCATAGGGTCTCCAAGGCTATAAAAGTATTTAAGGAAGTAGACTGTCAAAACTTTCTCCTGCAAATTGGGTCTGAATCATCAACCTTATGGTCAGCAGTTCAACTTGACTTGTCATCAGGGTTCCTTCTATTATTACTCAAAGAGTTCTGGTAGCCTGGACATGTTAACTGTTGTTGTTGTTGTTGTGTACTGTGAAGTCATAGCTGACCCTCCAGTTGGTTTTCAGAGGCAATTGGTCACGCGAGAGGAGACTGTCTACCTTTCTCCCACAAAGCAGGTCAACTAATCATCTTTAAATTTAAAAAAATGAGGCCTCACCTCCTCTGCTCAAGAGCTTAAACTAGACAATCACATCTTTAAATCTTTGGTATTACATTTCATTTCTTATCTCTGAAAAGAGACCTGTGTGCCATTCAAATCAGTCTCAAGGCTCTGGAAGAGAACAGGTTATTACAGACACTGTGTCTCTCTGCTCACTATTCCTTTCATTTAATGCTCCTTCACATTTACTCTTGATTTACCTTAACTTCTACTAGTTAAGTGGCATTTGTTAAGATTTTTTTTTCAGCTAAGTCAATTCAATCAATTTGTATTTTTAAATTTCTGCTGCAGTTACAGACTTACTCTTTGTTAAAACTACTTTTAGTGAACGATGGCGTCTCATGAAAGTTCTGAATTTGTGTCACAGACCTGTCTCTGAGTCCAGATATCACAAGTTAAAGCTACGATGTTGTTGCTATTGTTGTTCTCATGTGCTGTAGAGTCACAACAAACTCATAGCTGCCCCTCCAGGGCTTTTAGATGCAGTAAATCACACTGGAGACTGCCCATCCTTCTCTCACAGAACAACTGGTGGATGTGAGCCCCATGCCTTTAGGATTCCAATACTTCTTCCAAGTAGGCCACCAGAGCTCTCTATAAAAGTGACATGCTGAGTTTGTTTCAGAGACTCTGGGCCCAGATATCAGAACTTAACAGCTATGGAACAGTAGACAATGCATGTGACATCTCACAACTTTAGTTACCTCATCTACAAGGTAAGGATATTTTAAGCTACTTTGTGGAATTGTTTTTATGTAATCCTTCAACACTTAACTAATGCTGTTACTATTGTGACAAAATTTTTTTATGGTCTTGAAAAAAGTCTTAGAAAGTATTACTTAAAATGTGTGCAATTCACAGATACTTCCTTAATCAATGCATTTTAGCAACAACCAAACCGTTTCAACAAGTTTTCCAATTTTTTCTTCATAGTCATTACAATTTTCAGGCACCCACTGTCAAATTAGGATAACTAGTAAATTTAACTTACATCTGAACCAGAAGCTTTCATCATTGCATTCTGCAAAGACCCTTCTTTCTTCTTCTGTTGGAACATAATCAGCCCCTATGTCTTTTTACCAAAAGAAAAAGAAAAATCAAATGAATCATACAAAATAGTAAGTCTTAAAAAAAGCAGTTTAGTCTAATTGTTAATAACACTTTATATTTCTATCAAGCAATGAAACTGTCTTGTAAACTTTGAGGAAACTGTTAAGTCTCTATTATGTGCAGAGCCCAATACAAAATTAAAATGTTGAGACCTCATGCTCAAAATGGAGAAGGCCCAACATTAAATCCAGCATAGGACATGATGCTGGGAAAAGTGGAGGGTTGGCAAAGAAGAGGAAGATCTTCAACTAGAAGGACTGATGCAGTGACTGCAGCAATGGGCTCCTGTGTGTCAGGAAGTGTAGAAATGGCACAGAATAGAACATAGGGTTGTTATAAGTCAGACTCAACTCAACAACACATAACAAACAGCAGGGTTCTATATGAGTGTACAGATCACATGCCATGAAGCTGGCCCCGCTATATTTCAAGGCAGTGAACATTTCTTTACATAAACAGTTCTTAATAATCCTATAAAAATAAGAAACAGTAATATGTGGCTAGCTATGTAGTTATGTAAATGGATCAGAAATGGTACACTTAAATGCACATATACGGGGGAAACAGATATAAACATTTACACACGCTAAAACATGTACATTTATTATAAAGAGTACAGAGGATGTGCTTGAAATCATAAAAATCTCTTAAATATACACACAAACCTCCCAGACTGAAAATCTGGGCTTAATAGGAAAGGGATCATCGTTTCTGAGGCAATCAATGTATGTAACATTGTCCATAGTGTTTTGGATCCTACTACTAAGATCTTAAAAGTCTGGAAGGAGCCGTCTAAGTTGTAACTACAGGTCTCTTTGCAGTCAGAGTAATGAAAGAAAAATCAAAGACTTGAGAAAGTAATTAGTCCAAAATACTAATAAACTATAGTCTCCACTGACCTGAAACCAGAAGAACTACACAGTGCCCAGTTAACACCAACAACCACTCTGACCAGGATCATAAAAGAAGAGTAGCAGAGAAGACAGAATAAAATTGAAATTAATAAAAAAAGACCAGACCTCGTCTGATAAGAGAGAGGCCTATTCCTCAAGAATATGACCCTTATCTATCTTTCTATTTTGAAATGAAGGCACTTCCAAAGCAGCTTCAGTCACCTAAAAGTCAAGTGTTACAATGTTGTTGGTAGACACTGTTAAGTACAACCCACTGCAACCCTATGAACAACAGATCTGAATGCCATCCTATCCTGTGCCATCTTCACACTTCCCAACATATTAGAGCCCACTGCAGCAGTTACTGTGTCACATTCACCTGGTCGAGGGCCTTCCTCGCCTTCACCATTCCTAGCAGCATGTTCCTTTCCAAGGAAAAGCCCCTCCTGGTAACATGCACCAAGTATGTGAGGCATAGCCTCTAAAGTGCACTCTTGCCCTCTGGCTTCACCCTCTCAAAGACATATTTGTTCTTTTGACCGTCCATGGGATATTCAATACTTTTCTCTAACACCACAGCTCAAAGGTATCAAAGCTTTCTCTGTCATCTTTATTGTCTCAGATGTATAGCAAGTGATCAGAAAGACCATAACCCGAACAAAGTCAGGTGTATGAAGTGGAAAATAAACAAAGGAGGAATATGCTCTTCTGGAGGGTCAACTATATGAGATCAGAAGGGCAATACTTGTCCAGTTAAGGTAAGAAGGGGCAAGAAAGCCGGGCAAACAGAAACAAGGAACCCAAGGTGAAAAAAGAGAGAATGCCAGGACATTGTGGGGTTATAGTCAATGTCACAGAAAATCTGCATATAAAAATCTGAATTAGAATTTTGTAATATTTGTCCTAAATCACAATAAAATATTAAAAATAAAATGTTTCCAATTATAAAAATGTAATATTTACGGGGAATTGGTCTTGGAACTTCAGCACCTGGCTCGCGAAAATCAGCTCTCCCACTCATCGTCCCTGTATCAAAAACATTTTATATTAAGAAACAATCCCAAAATAGTTCAATATCAACTAAGAGTATTTATGATTTACTTAAATAAGTTTATGTGGCAATTAATCAACAAATATTTACTAGCCACTACACCATCACCTTAAGTGAAAAATGAAAGCCTACCGTCATCTAAACAGTTCAAACTCAAAGGGAACCTCCATCAGGTTTCTGAGACTGTAAATCTCTGAGGATCTTGGAGTTTTATTTTGTTGTATACAGGCGGCTAAGAAAGCCAATTCAAAGGCACATACCAAAACAACACTTAAGAATCTGACATAATAAAACACTTACCTAAATGAAAAAATTGTTAGGTATCATCAGATCTACTATGACTCACAGCAACCCTATAAACAACACATCTGAATCATGTATGTCCTATCCTGTGCTAGTCTCACAATCTGATATGCCCTATCCCATTAAACGCTAATTAGCTGATTTGGAACAGATTCATTCCTTTTTGGTGGTCTTGAAAAGAAAAAAACTCCAAACATCAGGTGCTGTGTAAGGCAAAAAAATCATTGTTGTTGAGCTGGAACCAACTCACAGGTGACCTACTAGCTGGTTTCCAAAGAACTGCATGGAAACAAATAGCCCATCTTTCATCCAAGGAGCTGCTAGTAGATTCAAGCTGCCAGAGGCACAGTTTATGAGCTAGCAGTGTAATATCCTATGGACTACACCACCAAAGCACCCAAAGTACATGTTAGGTGCTTTCTACAAGTTTATGAACTAGTCAGTATCAATGGGCATAAAACCTACCTAATTAGGAGCTGCGCTGCTATCCAAAAAGACCAGGCCTCTCTGGCAAGTTAAATCCATCAGGAGAGCCTCAGGAGAAGGATGTGAGATCTCTTCCCATGTGATTTACACTCTCAGAAAGCCCTATGTGGGATCAGCTTTGAGTTGATTCCAACCAGATGGCAAATGTTTTGAGAGTGAGACTGCAATTCTAACAGCAAACTGTATCATCCAAACTCTTTCTTCTCCAAAGAGACTTAAAATATATAGAAGTCCTGACAGTAGTACAGTGGGTAAAATGCTTAGCTGCCAATCAACAGGATTAAAGAAACTTTGAAAGCACCTACCATTCAAGAATAAACTTTTTTCCTCATCTAAATTTTTACCCAAGACCTAGCGTTTTGTATTAGGCTGCAACCCAAAAGGTCTTTTGTTTAAAATCCATCATCTTTGCAGGAGAAAGATGTGCAGTCCTCTACAGCAAAGATTTACAGCCCTGGAAATCAGAGGATCCCTTCGAGCCAAAACTAGACAGCAGAAAAGTTTTGTGTGGTTTTTTTGGGTTTTTTTGTTTTGTTTTTTGGGGGTTTTTTTACGGTTGCTTTTTGTTTGGGTTTAGGGATGTAGGATACCAACAGACCGGGTAACTCTACTTCATAATGTTTACTCAGAATCAGGATTAGTCTAACTTTAAAAAAAAAAAAAAAAGCATGAAATGGTGACATACACAAATAGAACAGCAATAGGGCCCTTGCATAATTCATATATTCTGTAAGCCACCACTGAGGGCCACCGTAGCATGTTGCCCCATGAGCTAGGGAAAAGTAAGTAAAAGGCTAGGCTAAATTCATGGATAACTAAAAATCCAAGCCCACCTCTCCACCCCAGAATAGATAATGGACTTATGGCACCTTACATAGGTTACCGAGGCTGTAAATCTCTAGACTGTCCATCTTTGACCTGTGAAGTGGCTCGGTGGATGTGACTTACTTACCTACCACCTTCCAGTTCACAGCCCAGCATTTTACTCCCTATGCTACTTGGTACCTTCAATTTACGGGTAAAGCCTAAAATCAAATCTACTGCCATCTAGTTGGTTATGACCCTCCACTGGGTTTGTAAATCCTTAGGGAAGGGGACTGACCAGCATTCTTTCACAGAACGGCCAGAAGCATTCAAAGTGCTGACCTTCAGCAGTCTATAAGCCAGGGCTTATAAATTCACAAAGCCTGCTAAATAAACTACTCATATCTCACCCCGATAGTAGAAAAGTTAAAACAAAGGAGCCTAAACACTCTAAAGGGGCGGTCATGGACGACAAGGCCCCTTTATGCAAGATTCCTTTACAGAACTTTAACACGTTCATTTCAAAAAGCTCACCCTGGGCCTATTAACACCTTCCCCAGCCTTCCTCAACCCCACCCATCATCTGCACTTCCCTATCGCCATCATTGAGCATCCTCCCCCACCTGTCAGCGAGAATCCCACCCATGCACAACCTCCGTAAGCACGCACTAGGATACACGGGAGCCCCAGACCCCAGACGCGATCGCTGCCCCCAGACAGGCGCGAAAATGGCGGAGGGAGCAGGGAAGCAGGGTGCTGCGCTGAGACGGAGAGTGGGCAGGTGGGAGCAGAGGGGGGATTCTGCGTCACCTCGCGCACCGAGCGGCGGGCGAACGGAGCTGCGAGCACCGGAAACGACCCAACAGGGAGCAAAAGGGAGCGAGAAGCGCCCTGCAAGGTGAGGGCTCGTGGGGAAGGGAAGGAAGGGGGGGGGGACACAGGCTGCTGGCAAGGAGTCACCTCAAGCAGGAGATGAAAATGACCGCGACCCGGACACACTAGTGACCTACGGCAGGATATGACGTCAGAACGCCCTGAGGCGCAGAGAGTAAGGAGCCGGAAGCCGGCAGTGTCGTCGGCCCTGCTTCCTCTCGCCCCGCCTCCTTTCCCCACTGTGGCCTCCTTGCTCCCCGGCTGTATTGAGGCTGCGCAGATGCCCACCACCGCCTGCGAGCTCCGCCCACCTCCTTATTTGAATATCAGAGAAATTGTGACGTAGCTCATGGATATGTCAGTCATCTGCTGCCAGGAAGGTGTTGATGCCTCCTGTCTTCTTAGCTTTCTCTGTTTTTATTGTTGTTGTTAGATGCCCGTCGAGTCGAGTACGACTCATATAACATCCCTACCTATGAACCACAGATCTGCACCCTGTCCTATTCTATACCAACATCAAATTTTACCCTATCTCATACTCTCACCCATTGCTACAGTCCCTGTGTCAGTCCACCTGGTTGAGAGTTTTCCTCTTCGTCATCATCCCCCCGCCTTTCCAAGCATGAAGTCTTTCTTCAAGGAATAGCCTCTCCTAGCAAATGCCCAAAGTATGCCAGATGAAGCTTCACGGTCCTTGACTCCAAGGAGCACTGTGGCTGCACCTTCTTCTGTTTGTTCTTTAGTTTATGGGATATTCAGTACTCTTCTCCAACATCACAGTTCAAAGGCATTAATTCTTCTGTCATCCTTATTCATTGTCCACAGCTTTCAGATGCATAGCAAGTGATTGAAAAGACCATGGTCTGAATCAAGGGTACCTTGGTCCTCAAACCAACCCTCTGTTTTTAGGTTGTACCTGATTCATACATTTCATTCTGTCAGGCTGTAGGCCACCCTATCTTAAGACTTGAGCCTGTTCTTAGAGCCACTGGTGAAACCGACCTCATTAACAGTCCTCTACTCTTAAAAAAAATAATAATAATAAAGGCAAGAGCCTGGTTTAAACAAACAAAAAAGAATCTTCCCTTTTTTATGCTTTTTTTATCCTTTTATCCTTCTCTAGGGACTGGTCCCTCAGGATAAGATGTTCCATAAGGAATTGTCTGTACTACTGCTAAGATTTGTTTGTTCTTTGGGCAGTACTTGGTGTATTCACTATTTTTCAACACTGTAATTCAAAGACATCAGTTCTTCAGTCTTCCTTGGTCAGTCTTCTACTTTCACATTCATGTAAGGCAATTGAAAATGCCCTTACTTTTCACTTAGAAGCCAAGTGTATTTATTGTGGCTTCAAGAAAGATGAAGTCATTGACAGTTTTAATCTTTTCTCAGTCTTATCAGAATGTCTCCTACTGGTACAGCAATGAGAATTTTTGTTTTCTTTACATTGAGATGAAATCCATATTGAAGGCTGTACTGTTTGACTTCTGCAGCAAGTGCTTCAAGTCCTCTTCATTTTCAGCAAGCTAATTTGTGTCATCTACATAACACAGGTTATTGGTCAATCTCCCTCTGATCCTGATGCCAGAGTCCAGCTTCTAGAATTTGTTCAATATACAGGTTGAACGAATAGGTATGGAGAATACAACTTTGATGCACAACTTTCTTCCTCTTAAACCCAGTAGTGTTCCCTTGCTCTGTTTACACAACAGCATCTTCGTTTAGGTATAGGTTTCACATGAGCACAGTTAAGTGCTCTTGGATTCCCAGTCTTCTCAGTGTCAGCCATAATTTCTTTTTTATTTTAGTTGTGATTTTAACAAGTTTACAGAAAAGTTAGATTTTCATTCATTCATTGTTGCATATTTTTACCCCCTTTCCCTTCCCCTCCCACTTCCCTAGTTCACTTTTTTAAAATATTCATTCATTGTTGCACAATTTTGTTATGATCCACACAAATGCCTTTGCACAGTCAATAATGCATAAACAGACAATATTTATATTGTATAAATATATATTATTGAATTTCAGTAATAAAATTCAACTGTGTAGACCATTATCATGAAAACAAAGATTCTCTCTTTTCCTTCCTTCCTTCCTTCCTTCCTTCCTTCCTTCCTTCCTTCCTTCCTTCCTTCCCTCTTTCCCTCCTTTCTTTTTTCCTTCTTTTTTCTTTCTTTTTTCCTCCTTTCTATCTTCCTTACTTTCTATCCTCCTTTTTACTATACTTCTTTCTAGCCTCCTTTTTTCCACTATCTCCCCCCACCCCAGTATCCTCTGGCCTCTCTATCTGGCTGTCTTTCTATCCTCCAGCCTCTCTATCCTAATGACTCTCAGCCTATTTATCCTCTGACCTCTCTATCCTCCAGCCTCTGTCTTCCAGCCTCTCTATCCTCCTAGCCATCCATGGTATGTATAGTCACTACTCTTTCCACTACCATAATTCAAAGACATTAATTTTCATTTTATCATTCCTAGTTATTGTCCAGCTTTCTAAAATATAG